AACCAATTCCAAAAAATGCAGCTCTCACGATAACTACAAATGGGGTTAGAAAAGTACTGTAAGAAATAAAACCAAAGAAAGGGACCTGACCAGCTACCATCAAGGATTCTGAAGAGTTGTTCAGTAAGCTTGGCTCCAGTCTTTCGAAAAATTTTCCAGACATCTATTGACAGTGGGAAACTCCCGAAAGACTGGCTGAATGCCAACATAATTCCAATATTCGAAAAAGGTGACAGAACAAATCCAGCAAACTATCGCCCAATCTCACTGACTTCCATCCCATGAAAGATTCTTGAGCATATAATCCACCAGCACATCATGGACCATATCACTCTGACAAAGTACTTACGAATCACCAACATGGTTTCAGACGAGGTCGATCATGTGATACACAACTGGCTGGACTCATCGATGATCTTGCCAAGTCACTTGACACAAAAAGCCAGACTGACTTGATCATACTAGACTTCAGTAAAGCCTTCAATAAAGTCCCTCACAATTGACTTTGGTGCAAGCTCAGACATATTGGAATACAAAGCAGCCTCCTGAAGTGGGTTGAGACCTTCCTGACAAGAGGAATCAAACGAGTCTTGTTGGAGGGCGAGATGTCAGACGAAACTTCAGTGTCTTCAGGTGTACCCCAGGGGACTGTGATGGATACCTTGCTTTTCATGTTGTACATTAATGACATGCCAAAAGTAGTTTCGTCTAGAGTCTGCCTTTTTGCAGACGATGCTATAATTTATAGAGAGTACAACATAGAGCAGCCCGCTTCCTTTGTGATGACTACAAATAGATCTCAAGCGTAAATAACATGATGTCTTCATTAAAAATGGGACACTCTCTGAAGCTCTGCAGAATTTAACTTCGACTCACTGCAGTTTACAAGGAAATTCACAATATTACATCATCAAATCTGCCAGCACCTGGTGGAACCAATACCTACACAGCAAGACACAACACTGGTCCCCACATAATTAATCCCCCAAGCAAACAAACTTTGCTAGCAATACACTCTCTATCCAAGGACAATAAGGGAATGGAACCTACCACCACCTAGCATACGATCTGCTCCTGATGTCAAGACATTCAAAAGTAGGATTGAACATTTGGACCCTCTCAACCTTCAGGGCTTGACCTTAACACTAGCCCGATGGTCATTGTCTAGTAAGAACAGCTGCAGGCTAGTAAAATGTACCACTTTGCTAGCCCGGCGGACTAGTAAAAAGTAGACAGCAGTATACGGTGCATTCAGCACGTGCGCTGCACCGTGAAGCTGACTGTACACTGTGCATGGAGCGTACGGTTCGCATACTACGTACATGTACATACATGTATGTACAATGTACGTGTAAGTTACTTGTACTGCCGATATTCGCCATGCTTGCGCTTCCATATGTTTGTACATCATAGGTGTACGTTTGAACAATGTAAGCACCGCATGCATTACATGTATGTACATGCGTGACCAACGATCAACATACGGGTCATCACAGACGGCTCCCTGACCCAATGCCAGCGTATGTTCGCGTTACGGAACCAGACTCAAACTGCTAGACTCCAAACGAGTGTAGATGTGAATAGGTGCGGCAAATGCGGCACTGTGATTGGTCAGTTGCAGCATGGATTGCGTACTTAGACAAGATTAGTGAGGCAAGCGTTTGCATTAAATTCATTCATAATCTTCTGAAAGTTTCAGAATACCGTCCGTGTAACTTGGGTGAGTAGTGAAATAAAAGAGTCATATGTTTAAATTAATTTCTCTCATTACACAATCACAGATGACTGATTAGGTTTCACCGTTGAACTTGTATGAATAAGTTACAAGTTGCAATGAATTCATTGATGATCTCTTAATTAAACTCAATTAGTCAGTGTTTGATTAATCTTGTGTTAAATTCAATATTATACAATGTTATATAGGGCTAGTAAAACTTGCTGCGGGCTAGTAAAACACTCAATTTATTTGCCTGGTGGGCTAGTTAAAAAACCCCTTAAGCACGAGGCTTGACCTTGTGCAAAAAGCCCACTGTAAAATTTAGCCACTACATGTATGTCCCTCACTCCGACCTGCGTGTGATAACCACTGAGGAGGTGTCTGCGCAGTATAGAACCAGAACCAGTGTGAACAGACAGGTGCAATTTGTGGTGCCGCAAATTTCTGTGTGTCTGCCCCCCCCCAACCACAGGACACTGAAAACTTCACTTAGTTTCGAGAAAAGCGTGCTGAAGTATCGGCAAAGGCTGTAATATGGTTTTGATTGACCGTCAACGCTCCAGGTTATGGTTTCTAGCAGATCGCCTACACTGCCGACAGTGTTGATGGCTACACTTGCCAAGCGGTGGTAGTTCCGCCTATCCAATTTGCATATTTCATGGGAAAGGTCCATTGATGGCTCTCTCTCATTGTGGTGACTTTGCCATTGACAATAACCCTAACCCCCAAGGGTGTATGTAAAATCGTATTGAAATTGGAGGATTTGGCACTGTTAGGGTTGTCCCAATGCCCACTTAAGCCTTCTTCATGGTGCCATCCGCAAGTCTGTGAACAGATAACATGCATAAGGAGATCATAGGGTTACGTTTAGATACAGAAATCAAAGTAAAGTTGAACTAGTTTAGACTTGGCACATTAAAAGGGTTGATTCTAGAAATCATGCTCCTAGAATGTGTTTCATTTAACATTAACCTTAGAAAGACATGGAATACTTTTTGGTACAGTACATGAAGCAGTTCGTTTTTTTTCTCAGTAGTAATTTTAATGATGAGCTGTGTATCTGTCATAACTGTATTGTAATTCATCTCTTAACAGAGCAGTGGTCAACATGACTATTCTCAAAACTGTGGTGATTTTTTTTCTTTGTAGACTCTGTTTCGGTTGAATGAAATGAAATTAATAATCATAAACAGCAATTCTTTTTAGGAAATGGAGCGACGCGTCAGTTGCACTACGAAGTGACGTGTCATGGATATATTTGCCACACCACAAACTGATGTATCGTGTGTACAAAGTCTATGGATGGTAAACGTATTACAACTATCCTCCTCGTGATGAAACCGAGGAATTGTTGCCTTCAACTGTGCTCATTCATGGTATCTCCTCAAGTCCCTTTTGAGGTCTCAGAACAGTCAGATTGGATGACCTTTTCCTCAAGAGCAAAGGAAGCTGCCAGTAGTTCGCCATCTGATATATCAGAAATGATTGGCTGACTGGCCGTGGCATCGTCATTGTTGTACTCATCACTTTCTTGCCACTAAAACAGATTTGTGGTGGAAATATACCCCATGCTGGTATAATATGCCACTTTGGAATAAATGCTGTTCTGCTGTACAGTCGCTCTAAATATACAAACGACTGCAGTATTTTAAATTTATGTAATGTCAACAAATCTCTTGTCTCTGTGTTGAACAATGTTGTTGCATATGTGCAAAATACTAGAAGGGTGAAAAGAAATAGTGTGACAGCTCAGGTGGAGATGAAGTCTGATAATGTATACCGTTAATGAAATTTTCCTTGACTCTAACAATCCTCAGTCCTTGTTGGAGGACTGAGACCTGTAAGCCGTACCTGTACCTTTGAATCATTTGCTTTCAAATCACAATATGCAAGGTGACCCTCTTGTTTGAAATGCAAACTACATGCACGTGTGTGTGGTCTTCCTTCAAGATGTCAGGCTTTGCGCAATGGTCTCTCTTGACATGGGATGGCTGCAGTAGTATTTTCTTCAGACTAATGCAGAGACTAGGTAAACTCCTACAGTAGGACAATGATTGCCTAACATTTCACTCAGCATTACTGCTTTGTTTCCGTGACTGTTGCATATCAAATATTTTACCTTTCCAAATGTTTCTTCACAACTACATGTACATGTATTTGAATATTTTGAAATTGGCTCTTTTGAGAATGTGCATCTTTAACCTGAATGGAAGCTGTCGGTCAGTCCCTCAGTTGGCATTATTATTGTGTATTTCAGATTCGTCATTAACGTCAGAGCTACAGAATGTTTGTCACATGTGACAAAATTCATCAGAAAAAACTTGCTATTAAATTAAAAAGTCGAAATACTTGCCATGAAATCAGTGGTATCTGCTTTAATTCAGGAGTATTGAAGATGGATGATGTTGGCTAAAAAATTAAGGCAAATGTCCCATAAATCACTACCTGTATCCAACAGAAAAAAGGGGCTTATATGGGTGATGCGTACAGTCCATGTCATCCTGAGTTTTAGCATCAGCTTGTATGGATTGTCTTGAGCTAACTGCCGTGGTCACAAAATCATACTTTGCTCACTAAAGACAAATCAAAACGACAAATACACCAACAGACAAAAAGATTTCGTTGTTTGACTGAACTTGCAGAAATCTTAATTTGAAAATTTCAGTATTTTTGATGTTTCTAGCTATGTTTGCTGGATACATGTACATGTATCCATAGTGCTTGTGTTCGTCCATCCATTAATCTCTGTGTGGTGAGGTCTGTAGGATACCAGACTAATACTGCAACTGACATGGCAGGATTGCAAACAGAAAAAAACAATTTTTGCCTCAGCTAGCAATAAAATGAATATTATGCTGTTCCCGGTGATCAGTTAAAATGAAAATAGCTCTTTTGCTCCTACTGTAACGAAGGCAGGGTCTTCCCTTGCCAATCCAAACATTCATCTCCTTGTGATTTCAAACCAAGTCACATTTACCTGGAGAAAGTTTTGAAAATACATGTACGTGTATACCCAGGCAAAATGAATCAAACTGAACTTGATATTTTTCACAGTTTTCTGTGATAACCTTTCAAAATCTGGATATCATGTCGCTTTTATGCACCCATAAATTGCTGATATCTTTGGGTCACCTCTCTGAAGGCCTACATATACATGTATACATTCCAGTATTTGTGCTTTGGGAAGATGCATCAAGGTGCAGCACAGGCTGCAGGAAGCTTATTTCTTGTCTACAATTCCAAAATTAATAATTGCAGGATTGTGTCTTTCATTCTCCCTCAGGTTGGTGAGAGACTGCCTTCAAAGATGCCTGCAGACTGGCTACCCTTTCCAGTTTGAACAAGAGTTCTTGGACTTCCCAAAATGGTAAGCTTTTTCTTTCTATTGAGAAAAGTTTTGCGGGCTAATTTCAAGAGGTTTTGTTCACTCCAGTGTGTTTGTCGTGACACCTGACTCCACCCCTTGTCAGCCTGGGTGAGATTCTAACCTTGGTCAAGAAGGTTGGAGGTCAAGGTGGACAAGACTTCACCAATCTGCTTTCTTGAAGTTGAGGCTCACTGGTTTCAAAACTAAAAGCTGTTCTGAAAAGACTTCAAATATTTCGATATCTAGGGTTTTGGAGATAGATTGGCCACTCGAAAACCAAAATACAATGAAAACCAAAATACAACAGCATCTGTGCACAAATGGGGAAGGTCAGGTCCAGCAACCTTTGGGCAGTTAGGGTTAACCCTAACCATGCTGAACCTCACAAGGTTATGCAGGATTTCAATGGTCCCTAGAGGGTTAGGTACATGAAATACATGTACGTGTATAGTACGGGCTGTTGGAAGTAGAGTGGAACATAACGTACATGTATTTGCTTGGCATACATGTGTGTGCACTCATGTTCATGTGCAATGGCAACAGAGTATTCATACACCGTGGAGAGTAACGCAGTCAGTGGAGGATACCCAAACCTGTCGCTTAAGCTGAATCACGGGCTATATCGTACCATCAGACAGGTAAACACATATGAAGCTTCTAGATTGCCGTGTCTACAACCTGTGTGTGTGTGGCAGGGTTGTAGTCCCAAACCTAGCGGTGGCCTAGCAGCACAGTACTGACATGACCGAAGACCATGACAGCAGCTACAACACAACACAAGCAGTCCACGAGGCTTATCCATCGCTTTCCTAAGTTTAAATTGCCTCTGCAGATAGTAGATATTTGTCTTAAAGCAGTCCTCCAAAAATCCTTGGCATATACGCGACAACTGGGAAGGTTTAAAATCTATCCTTATTTTGTTCGGCGTTGTCCGGAAACAATCAATTCAATGCTTTATTGCATGGAAACCTTAACAAACAGTAAGTCGCAATTTATGAGATTTTTGTCCAAAGCTACAAACTGCACGAGACTGGGGTCTGTTCTATTTTACATGTTTTATGACATAAACACAACAAATCATGCACTTAAACTTGATGGATGGAACAATCAATGAAGTGGACAAGAACTACTCAAGAACATTGTAAGTTGTGGCCTCATTTTGTAAGCTTTTATTTGAAGATTTTGACCTTTGCAAGGAAATCATCTTCATTGTTTGTTTTACTGGCATATCAGAGTGTTTCTCTGTGAATCAGGGCTTGGAAAGTGGGGTGGATGGGAAGATGTGTTGTTGAAATATTTGTACGTGTAGGTTTCCATTGATTTTGTGAAAGTTTTTGTCTCCAGAATTCCTGTATCATGGAAATGTTTTCCCTTGAAGATGGTTAGATCGAGGTAGTTGAATGAGGTTGGAGATGCATCATATGTGAATTTTAGAGTTGGATGCATGGCGTTTGTGTTGGACGTGTTGGAATTCTTTCATTGCTCCGTTGAAAATGACAAGTACAAGTATGCCGTTTCTGTCACGCCACCATGTGAGGATTTGTTTGTCTTATCAACTATCTTGTTTTCCAAATTGTGTATTGCAATGTCGCGTATTTCAGGCTTGATGTAGATCCTATTGTGCACCAAATTTTCCAAGATAGAATTTGTGTCCGAACTGGAAACAGTTGCGATTGAGTAAGCTCCAGTAGTTTTTGTACATAATTGGTGGGGGTGGGTGGGGTTGGGGATCAGGTTTATGTGCGGTTCATGTTGTTGCATATACATGTACATTCAATTGCTTCTGTTTTTTGCATGTTTTTGTACATCGAAACAACATCAATTAATGCTTGTGATCAGAATAGTTTGTGGGAAATTCCTTTTTCTACATGTAGTTTCCGTAGGATGTCTGTATCGCGGACATTGGTTGTGTAGAGACTAGGGGAAGTAGGAATTACATGTAGTCGATATACATGTATTCTGATATTTTAGCTGTTGGGCTTGTGTATCTACTTACGATTGGTCGGCCCACAAATGGTTCTCCTGGTGGTGGTTTTTTGTGTATTTTTGGGAGGAAGTACATGTACATTGTTGGGCATTTACAGTTTTGTTGTAGTGGATTGAGGCACATGTACTTCAGTGTGTTTTCATCGATGTGGTTGCTGTTTCAAAATGCTATTCAGGTGTTGTGAACCATAGTGATAGTTTGGGGGGGGTGTTGTCTTGGTCCAGTTTGACATATATGTACATGTATTGGTGGAACTCAAGATGTTGGTAACCCACATTTATGTACTCTGTCAGGTTCATTATGCGTATATATGCCTCTGCCTTTGTCATATGGTTTAATTACGATTTCACAGTTTTGTTTGAGATTATTGATGGCAGTGAGTTCTATATTGGTCATGTTTCTTTGTTGGTTTCTGAGCCTGACGTGTGCAAGATTGAATTTTGTGGCTTCCATATATTCTTCCAGCGTGGCAATATGGGTGTTGTGAGAGGATGCCGTTGTGATGCTGGTTTGAAGGGATGGTTTTTGGTCGTTTTTTTTTACATGTGGAATGTCATGCGAAGTCGTCGGTTGAAGTTTTTGATGTCGTTTAGGAGAGACTTCTGGTTACATTTAGCAGGAGTTGGTATCAAGTTTAGGCCTTTTTCCAAAGCAGTCTTCTCTGTTGGGGATAGGTCTGCTTTGGATAGATTGGTTATAAAGGTTTCACATTGTTCTGCTAATTGGGTTAAGAATAGTATTTGAACTTGTCCTGTTTTTTTGGGGGGGGTTGACAGTTAGAGTGGCGTTTGGATTTATTTCGTCTTGAGGATTTTTTTAGTTTTGTGAGTGTATTTTCTTCTTGTCTTTTTGGGTTTGGTGGGGAATATACATATAACTTGGATTTGTTTGTAGTTATATTCTCTGTTGGGTTTTAGCGGTAGGGTACAGGCAGGCAAGACAGTTTAAACTCTCTTTTATGAGATGTTGTGATCTTGAAAAAGACCGTCGGTTTTGTTTTTGTTGATGTCCTCAGTGGTTGCGTCGCCTCTCAGGGTGTCTTTTCTGTTGAGGGTGGGTTAGACAGCTCAACAGTTGCGTGCTCCCGTCCTGTGAGTGCAGCAAGTTTTTCTTGAGCAGAGCGGTGAGTGGTTGTAGTCTCGGCCTCGATGACTTTTACATGTAATTGATGCTTGTACTCTTCCAGGGCCACTGTACAAAAAGACTGGATGCTTTCTTGGCCAGTTGTCCCAGCATAAATGAGCACATTGCCGCAACGTGGCCATTTATCCGGTGTGCTGGTTTTTCCAGTCATATACGTACATGTACGCAAACTCAAGGTCTGGTTCCACATTTTGGGCAGTCTAGGGAATATACGAGGAGACTGGAAGGGAATGTACGAGGAGACTGG